GGGAGCTATTTGCCGGCGCCGAATGAGTAAGAATACTTTTTCCATGTGGAGCAGGTGGGCCGCACTGCTAGAAGGGAGCTGCTCGGCGTGGTAAATATCGCCACAATCAATGTCTTGTTAGTAAGGTCTCCTTCAATCCTTAGGCGATTGAAAGAGACACTTGAGAACTGAAGTGACACATTGAATTTTATGAAGCTTCTGAATGTACACGGAAATAGCCTATCACGATTGGTGAAACTTCCCTTTCATCACTTACGGTTGATGTCATCCATGAGTGGGCTTTATAAAGAGAGAACACCTTACAAACAAGCCATTGATAAAGTCAAATTTCGGAGGGCAAAATGCATTTGGCTAATAAGATTGTGGACCCATTTTGCAATGGAAAAATGTCAAGCTGACAATGACCCCCTGATGTTGAATCATTGCTGTACACTCTTTGTCTTGATAAAGGTCTCAGTTAAGAGACGAAATGCGTAGACTTGAGCTCTCTTAATTTTGGTTCCCACAAAATTTCTTCAACATTTTTATTGTGCTATCTCCCTAAAATAACTGCGGCCTTTTTCGAAGTTACCGGCCGCGGTTATATCCAGGATCTCAGATTGGTGTGCTCCTCTTTTGGCATGTGGCATCTATACCTCTTAGTCATGTGAACACACAAGTTATTTCAGCTGGTCTCTGATGTCCACTACCGCTGGCAAGGGTTGAGTGCTCTGGGCAGACCTTGATTTGGTCCGGTACAGCATCGGCGTGTGAGCATCTTTACAGCCTACTTCTATCATTATCAGAATCCATGGTGGGGTCACCCATGGTCAAGTAGATTAGGTTGTATTGGTATCGCTCACCAAGATGAATGGACATTTCTATTTAAATTTCTTCCAGTTTATTCATGTACTTTTCAGAGTCTGCTTTTTGTTTATAGTGGTCTATATTTTTATATATTATACCTTCCTTGGGCCTTTGACCATCTTGGCCATTTTGACAGTTGTACATTTTTCCTGAATGCACCACTTAGTGTATTATCCCTTTAGTGTTTACTAACACTAGATCTATATAGATCTAAAGTGAGTTTATATTTTGTGGAAGTGTTTTGATACTTTTTGTAGCAGATTTATAACATTCTTGCAATTTAGGTAGCACTCATACAGATTTTTGATTGATGCATACTTTTAATTTATTTTATTTTATATTGTGGGATTCCCTAATAAAGTAATTTTCTCATGCTTTATTTTATTTTATTTTTTATGAAGGAGCGCTCACACTTTACTCTGTTTAGTTTTCACAGTCTCCTAATAAATCTGTTTACTTTTATGTTGGGATGTCTGATCTTCTTAAACCTCTCTGGCTGTCGGACAACAGGTCCTGTTATTTCCTGGTTTGATTAGCTCAGTAGAGCTAAACTCAAGAAGAAGCATTTGTTTAGAGCACCTGCCTTGCAAAGACTTCTCATTGAGCTGCATTGGGGAGTCTGTGATTGGACAGCCACAGAAAGTTTGGGCTGAGGAAAAAGGGTAGGGCTTTAAAAGACAGTAGACAGATGTACATTTTACAAGTTTTGTTTTATTTTTTATTTTTATTTTTTAAATGTATTTTTATTATAGCCCACAATGAAAAAAAATGCATAATTAAATACATGCATGTTTTTATCGGGGAATATATCCACTAAACAGTGTATTTTTTCATATATTATTTGAGCAGAGGAGTGTCCCTTAAAAATATTACAAGTTGCTAAGTCTTTGTTTAAATAGATAACTCACATAATGTAAAAGAAGATAAACTGTAATTATCCTCTGATGCACATGGTGTGCTGCAATTAGTGTGGAGTGACCTGTAAGGGTACACATTTAGAAATTATCAAAGAAATCTATATGAGAAAGACGACGCTGGGTCATATGTACTGCATTTCTCTTAAGAGTGAATGCTCGTTTAAATAGGTGATACTGTTTACTCTTTGATCAGCAAATAGTTCATTAACAAAAGTAATTATCTCACTTAGCAGAAAGGTTAATGTTCCATTGTCTCCCTGCGGCTTCTCAATTGCATTAAGAGGTGCATAATCTTTACATATGCCTGTTTCATTGTTCTTAAATAAAACTAAATAAAAAACAACAATAATTACTCTGAAAGCAGATAATACATGTCTTCTACACAACTTCCCTCTACAACATTTCTGATATTTGCAAAGCTTTAATAAATTTGTCCCTGGAGAGTATTCGAATACTCTCCATATGTAAATTACAACAGAGCATCTTTGTCTTACGAAAACAGTTTGATATAAGCTGCATTTAAGAAACACTCCAAGCACCATAACCGCTACAGCCTGCTGTGGTGTTTATGGTGTCAGCAGTGCACCGGTGTCGTCCAAGGGTATGTTGTCAAACTGTTTGAGAATGGTTTGGCAAACTTATCTGAAGAAGTTGCCTTCTTCTAAAGAGCTACAAGCTCCAGCAAAGAGCTTCCATTAGCTCCACTGTGCTTAGCCCTGCCATACGGGGCCTGCTCATTGGCTAATAGCATCAGATGAGTATTCTCAGCCAGTGAGCTAAGCCCTGGGATGATGTATTGGAACTCTTGACACCACGACCACTACATCAGGCTGTAATGTTTTTTTGTCCCCCTTTAAAATTCAGTTTTTGCATAACAGCAAATCTGTGTGTACTCTGATTATTTTCAGATCTAAAATATGAAACATGCATCGATCCTTCCTGCTGTGCACAAACATGCTCGATGCCTATTAGCAATAAAAGATTATTAAATAAAACAAAAATATAACAGGACAGCTTAGTTTCTCTGGTAACAAGAAATAGGGCGGAGCAGACATTATGTCTTGTGAAGCATAGTTTTTTTTGCCAATACATTCTGAAACCTAATTTAGGTAAAAGCGTATCATACTCTCAATGACCAACCTATATTGTTCTACACACGTCTGTCTATCTCACAAGCAGCAATTCTATTTTGCAAAAAAAAAAAAAATCATGAGAGAACAGAAATGAAGATATTATTGAACAGTAGGCAAATAATGATCTTATTTTGGAAGCAAAAGGTTTATAGGAAATGCATTATTATTGTAAAGAATTATAATAACTATCATTGTTCATAGAGCATTAGCTAGGATTTGCAAATATACAAAAGAGGATAAAAATATATATTTTTTTAACAGGAACAAAAGGGTAAGAAGGACATTGGTCAAATCAGCTTACGATATAGAGGATAAGTATATTAATGGTTTTAGAAATGTATTATTCAGTAAATAAAGGAGAAAATCCCCTATGGGGATGAACTTACATCACTCGGAGAAGCTTTGTCTGGACAGTTCACTAGCAAGACTTGCTTCTAAACTAAATTAAAATAACAAAAATGAATTTGTTGAGAAAGAACGTGTGCATATTTAATGATTTTTGATATGCCAATAAAAATTACTTTGAACTTTCACAAGGCAACTACTAGCTAGTTTCTGTGAGTCACAGTCATTATGATGTCTGCCATTTTATTATCTCTACCTTACTGTTTTAGTCAGGGGCTAGCCAAGGCAGGTGCTCTGTACCCAAACAAGTTGCCTCATGGTGGATTTTAACAAACATCAGAATTTATCCATCCAACAAACTAGCCTACTAACAGCAGACATTTCCAATACGAAGCATCAGGAGGGGCTTTGATACCCCCTGTCTTTGTTAAGCAGAAAGCTACTCCATTAGCCATTATGTCACTATCTCCAGGAAGAAAAGATATGACATCATAGTCTTTTGGTACTCTGAGCGATTATCGCGCACAGGAGTAAGAGGGAGCAGGTAATGCCATCACCGATAAATGCGTTAAATAACTGAACAATAGGTGAGAAGCAAGGGCTGATGCAAAGATTTTGGGGCACACTGGCTAAGATGCATTTTGCCCTCCCCCACACCCAATTTTTTCCCAAATTACCCAATTTAATGGTTATTATCTACCTCGAAAGGATGAAGGGTGGAGCCAAGCCTGCCAGAATTTGAACCTGCATCCCGTAGGGGTCAGCTTCTAATGATAGTAAGTTAGCCCACTGAGCTATAGGGCTGGAATTGAGATGAGTGACAGAGGGTTAGGTGGACAATGACACAGAGTGAGGGGACCTAACTGAAAAGGGTCTAAGAAACCAGGATTAGAATATGGCAAGGAGGACAAAGTGGCACAGGGCATTAGAAGACAACTAGTGGGATAGAGTGATAAGTGCTTAGGTTACATAATTAGGGGACATTGACACAGCAGGGCTAGGAGGACAGAATAAAAAGTAACTAAGGGAACAGGGATTTGTGAAAACAGATTGACACAGTAGGGCTAGTGGGAAGAGTGGCAAAGTGAAGTGGAATGGAGAGACACAGCAAAGCAAGGGGACAGGCTGACCTAGCAGAAGTTGGCTTGGTGACAAGGATTTAGATAGACACAACAAGGCTAGGGAGATCAGGATTAGGTAGGGGTAGTGACCCACAAGAACTTGAATTACATGATAGACTGGGTTTTACTACATGATCCAATAGTTACCACCATGACTACAACCAGCAGTTTTTATACAATTCATCAGGTAATTTCTTTATTAGGCAAAGGTCTAATCAGAAGACTGGGTCTGCACTAATGTTACAGTGACAACAGAGGTAGGTAATGTTGTGGAACAAGTGGTGCATTATTATCATTATTATTATTTTATTATTGATATAGCGCCATCAGATTCCGTAGCACTGTACAATGGGTGGACTAACATACATGTAATTGTAACCAGACAACTGGATGTACAGGAACAGAGGGGGCGGAGGGCCCTGCTCAATGAGCTTACATTCTAGAGGGAGTTGGGTGTAGCGAGACAAAGGGTAAAAGTAAAGGTATGAAGTAGGTTGTTAGAAAAGTATTCACTGAGGGCTTAGTAGGTAATTTCTGACAGTTGCAGGAGAGGAGGCATGGGGGATAAAAACCTGCTTAATTGATATGCTTTCTTGTAGATGCGTGTTTTCAATGATTTTTTGAATTAATGGAGACTGGGTGAAAGTCTTATGAAGAAGGGAAGGGCGTTCCACAGAAGAGGTGCATGTGGCGAAACCGACCTCGCCACTGGGCATTGGAGAAGACTGATTGACAGCCTCCTGCCATGTGACTATGGCCCCTGGGATGTATTGCCCTTTAAAGACATGATTTGGGCATAAGGGATTTCTGTTGTGCTGCTGCCGGCCCTTTAAGAACCATCTGGGGACATACTGTGGAGTTACTGGGTGGCCATTTCCTGTATCAGAGGCACATGGTGAGAACAATGGATGAAGCACATGGTAAGAACAATGGATGGCGGACATTTTAACTCACAGACAATGTTCGGACTTTTCAACACGGTGCCATCTCGCTGGTATTTGGTGCACAGAGACATCGTGCAGTGGTTTTGGACTATACAACAGGGGACACATTATACAGTAATTGTTTTTTATTTAGCCTGCATATGTTCTGTGGAATCTGCATTAACCCCTTAAGGACCAAACTTCTGGAATAAAAGGGAATCATGACATGTCACACATGTCATGTGTCCTTAAGGGGTTAAACTGTATCTTCCAAAGTACTGAACGGATCTGGGTGAATTTTGGATATGTGGTTCACCCAGATCCCCCGGTTCCAAAAAATATGGAGTTATTGCATGTTTTGGTGTCCCTGTGATGTGTTTTATGATACTGTATTTCTCTGCCTGTGATAATTAGATTAACCATTATGTTCAGCAGAGGGGAGGATTTTGTGTGGGAGTGTCTGTGTGTATTGTATGGATTGATTGGCTGTTTTGTAACGCCCTGTGGGCAGTACTAAGTTTGTGGATTTGGAATAAAAGAGGCTGTATGTGCCAGTACAGTCAGTTCCTGCTTAACCCTCAAAGTGAAGTGTTGTCTCATTATTGGGGGAGGATTTATTGTATGCTGTTCCAGTTTGACTGCTAGGAGTGTAAACCTATTCGCATGGTTTTTCCTATTCAGCTTTATACAACATTCATATGCTTGAGAGCATTCATATGCTCCTACGGTTCGGTAGTTTTGGTGTCTGCTGCAGTGCTTGGAGTCCTCAGGAAGTGCTAGGAACATCCTTCAATGGAGGTACCCAGTCGGGGTGCCAGGTGATCCGTTACAGTGCAGCCCTGGAGAAGTATTGGAGGCGCGCATCAGAGGTGGGAGTACGGGCAGAGCGCAGGGGCCTCGATGGGACATACTTGTTTATTAGGGAGGATAGGTAGGTTGGAGCAGCATTATGTAGGGACTTGTAATCAAGCACCAGAATTTTAAATTGAGCCCTATATCTAACTGGAAGTAAATGCAGGGACTGACAGAGCGGGGAGGTGTGGGAGGTGTGAGAGGTGCGAGCAGACAGGAAAATGAGTCTCGCCGCCGCATTCATTATAGCTTGCATAAGTGCAATCTGGGAACACATAAGACCACTGAGAAGGGGTCAAGGCGAGAGAGAATGTGAAGAAATTCCCCTCTTTTCCTTTAAACTGACAATTTGTATTCCCTTCTTTTATGTTAGCTTTCCCTATGGCATTCGGTAGAAACTACCGAATCGAGACCACCCCGTTGCCCATTATGAATACTTTACCTCCCGGCTTGCTGGGCATGTTCGACAAAAGTTCTGCACGAACGGTATGCACCGCCGCCATTTCAGGACTTCCACGTGTTCGCAGCCATTTTAGTTCCCGAACAGCGGTGTTTGCCGTCGAGTGTCTGGAACTGAAAACGGACACTCAAATAGGCGAACACCGCTGAATCCTCCATACCTAAACCCCATTAAAACTACTGAACGACCGGGCGTTCGGTAGAAAGACTCACTGACAGATGGGGAATCAAGCGAACCAAGGATGGTAGCTGGATGGCCGGCCGTTCGGGAGGTTTTTCGTGCGACCTAAGACCGACTGCAGGGCCAGAATTCATGGAACTGTTTTCGGCTACTTTGCCCGTGCAGTCGGTCAAAACTTCTAAGTCCCATATCTCCCAAACGGCTGAACCGAATGGACTGATTTTTTCGTATGTTGGTCCCCCAGAGTACAGATACCAAATTTATGTCTGTACCCCAAGCCCTTGGGGTACATCCAGACTTTGGGGAAATTATATTCCGTTTTAATTATGTTAAATGGTTATCTGAGGGGAGGAGATGTACAGTATATATATTGTTATGATTGGTTGTACAGTTAATTATATGGGAGGCTCCCTTGCATGGGCAGACTCCCATAAAAAGAGAATGCCTGTCAATAAATCCTGAGTTCATCTTTGTACCCGTCTTCTGACTACGTATGCTGTTTGGGAGTTTGAGTGTTTTACTGAGGGAATTATCCAGGGACACTATTGGAATTACACTGGGATCCGTCTACCATAACTACCGAACGGAGGGCTATACTCACTGGGCTCTGGCGGTTCGGGAGGAAACTACCGATTGAGGTTTAAATGTACTTGGTTTCCTTACAGAGAACAACAGCATTGACCAGTACCTTAGCCACATCCGGCGTTAAATAGGGGCGGATGCAAGCGACAGGATTTGATGATTGATTGGACATGAGGGGTGAAGGAGATGTTGGAGTCGAAAAAGAACACCCAGGCAGTGAGCCTGCAAGGTAGAGGTGATGGTAGCGACGTTGACTTAGAGGGAGACAGACACGGGAGTAGCAACACTTGAGGGTGAAAAGACCAGAAGTTCTGTTTTGGATAGGTTGAGTTTAAGGAAGTGAGCAGCCATCCAGTTGTAATTTGCAGAGAGGCAATCCTAACTATAAGATAAGGCTAGGGACTAATGAAAGTATTTAGAAAATTGGGCAGACTAGATGGGCCGAATGGTTCTTATCTGCCGTCACATTCTATGTTTCTATCACGTATACATATTGATGGCAAGTACAAGAAAAGGGTTGCCCTGTAGTTTGTAGAATTCAGAAGGTGTATATGATTATGTAATTAGGCAACAGTCCTGCACAATATGTATTATATATACTGCAAGGAAACACTTTTCATGCATTTTCATAAATATATGAGTCCCTGAAAACATGGTGGCCATGGTAACCCTACCAAACACTAACTATGGAACCATATAGACCCCCAAATAACAATATAATTAACCTACTCAGCTGGTGTAATAATGACAGGGCAGCGGATACGCCACCATTTAGTAGTTAAACTCCCTATACATTTTTTTTTTTATTCAAAACTGTATTCCTAAATCTAGAGTGTCCCTCTGGCTCTGCAGCCCCTCCCCTATGATGAAATGGTTTTAAACCACTTTCTTTCACTCACCTGATATCAGCACAGAGGACCCTTGCGCGATTGGTCTCCTCGTCCCACAATGTTATGGCGATGGAGAAACTAACGCATGCACATTAGAGCTTCCCCATAGGAAGACATTGATTCAATGTCTTCCTATTAAGATTTTCAAGCGGCTAGCTTCCAGTGTTGTTTCACAAAGTTAAACTGTGAAGTACCCGAGGCGCCTCTATTGGCTGTCTTCCAGGTGGCTAGGGGACAGGGCAGTGCACCAATACCACTTCAGACATCTGGTAGCGTAAAGGATCTATTTTAACAGTTCAAAAAAAAAAAAAATCAGAGGTCTAAAAAAAAAACAAACAAACAAAAAACCTTTATTTGGTGTATACTTTCATAACTTTGAATAGATAAAGGAAAATAAAACACTATTAGGGATGTGCATGTGCAAAAAAATTCAGTTCGGTTTGGAAATTTAGGGAAGTAAAAAAAAATTGTCTGCTTCGGCAATTCGAACCAATGGCGTTCGGTTCAGTTCGGCACTTCGGTAATTCAGACTCTAACCCTAACCACTTGTTTTGCCACTTTTCAGAAATCCAAAGATCTTTGGAAATTCAGAACTTTGGCAATTCGGACCCCAACCTTAACCTTCGCCTCTAACTCAATTCGGAACTTTGGCAATTCGGACCCCAACCCTAAACCCTAGTTTTGCCACCTTTCAGAAATCCAAAGCAATTCGGAACTTTGGCCATCCGTAAGCATCCGAATTGCCCAAAATTTTTCCAAATGTATATTTGGAACGAAACGAAGTTCTTAAAGGAGGTAATGTGCTGCAGGTTGCTTGATCCTTAAGAGAAATGCTGGAAAAACAGGTTACAGTCTTGTTAACAGTCACATTTCTTCAACAAAACTATCAGAGCCCAAAATGTGCACTGAATCTAAGACAACAGTTGGGTCTCAGGTGTTTAAAATCAGCTGGATGATGGGCCTTCTGAGACCCCTATGCAGCAGCCACGACCTGAGGCCTCATGCACCCCAGATGGCTTACCATAAAATCCTGGAACAGAACTGTACATAGTTAATTGTTTATTTTGTCTCTCTCATGCAAGCTCTTTTACTTTATTTTACGCAATATCCTTTCCTTTCTGGTAACAAACACGGCGCACAGCGCTCCTAGAGAATTTAGAGGAATGGATAGCACTCTCTAATCCTCCCCCACCTCTAACGCATTGTATGCTTAGTTAATCAAGCATTTTAAAACCCAGAGGCATAAAAACACACTTAGGCAATTAACCTCCCATACAAAGTCTACCTATCGCACAGCAAGAGTTCTGGCTGGATGGCAGGTATATGACTACGCTTCTGGTTGCTCATTACAACCCAAGCAAATGGAGGGCAAGAAGCCAGCTGGTGAAAAGGTAGTCAGCCCCAACTAGTCCTTCATTCACCTCATATCACCACACAAGGCTGCCTAGTTCTATTTGTCTATAGCTTACTCCTTACTACTATTACAATCGTCAGCTCACAGACTCCGCCATCACTGTGCACTACGAGCTTACATATACTTATGGCGACTTATCACCCCCATTGCACTGTGTTTTCTTGTTTCTGCCAAGCATCTGCGAGTTGAGCACAAATTACCTTGTTATTTTATTATATTACAAAATAGTGCATGTTAACTTGAATGTCCCAAATGTTCTGCATGATGCTAAGCTTGTGGGGTGCCCAAGCCTGTTGGTAGATTTCTGCACTGCAAACCCTCCCCCCCACCCCCCAAAAAAACAAAAAACAAAAATCAGCTGGATGGTGAATAGAAAATGTTAACTATTCTACTGCTGAAATACTTAGCAATCACATATCTTATGTAGAGTTGTCAAATCCAACATTTATTCCTGAAATCCTATCACCTCTGATAGGGTGGGGTCAGTAGCAATAATTCACATGCAACATTTAAAATGTATTCATTAATTATGGAATGCCTTGATTTGTTAATTGAATTAATTA